TAGGGAATTCAGAGCTGTGCTGCTTATCTCACTAGTCAGTCCCTGCTGGGCTCATGGTGACCTGGGTACTGAGTAGTGGGCTGAAAGCTTCATGGGAAGGAAACTTGGTGCTGATGAGACTGGATTACTTGCTTTTCTGAAGAGCAGGCATTTGTTATTCACTCCTCATTTTAGAGCTAGGCCAAGGAATTCACAGCTTGATTCTGTATTTCTTCCTTGCAGGTATAGAACGGGATGCAGTTAGTACTTTTACCAAATATATTTCTCCAGATGCTGCTAAACCAATACCTATTACAGAAGCAATGAGGAACGACATAGTTGGTAAGGCTGTGTACTGGCTGCTCTCTTCAGAGCTTCCTGAGAAAAAAAGTGGATCTTTAAAATTCATAAAAATAAAAAAAGAGTGTGTGGTATTAAAATAAGTTGTAAAAAGAGAGTAGATCACATGACAGTTATCACTGGATCTGACCTTTCTATAGTGCTGTGTAATATCCCCAGAAGAACTTGCAGAGACTTTGCTTAAATTAGTGAAAGAATTTCTGGTGGTTGTGGAGGGAAATCCAGATTTGAGTCACAATAGCACAGCTAAAATATTTGAAGCTTAGCTACCTGCAGTGCTTCAAAAGCTCTTTTTGCACAGTCAGAACCAGCTGATTCCAGTGGATTTGAACTGTAATTTTTTTTTAACTAGTTATCACTCATGCCTTTCAGCTTGCTCAGCCAAATGCAGGTTGAAATTAACCTGGTCTTTCTTTGCAGCAAAGATTTGTGGGGAAGATGGACAAGTGGATCCGAACTGTTTTGTCACAGCACAGTCAATAGTGTTTAATGCAATGGAACAAGAGTAAGTTGCTTGTATGGTTGAGCCTGCTGTCCTTTTGCAAAAGGTGGTGCTGTTAAGAATGTTTATGGAGGCACCACCATGGAACCACTTTCCCTGGGCAGTCTGCTGGAACTGCTCTCATCTCTCCCTCCAGATCCATTGCCATCACGTGCTGTGGTTGCTGCCACTGCAGCCTTATCTCCCTGTGTCATTTGTAGACCTGTGTTGTTCCTTGCTTGCTTTGCCTTTGACTAAAAGTATAAGTTATTGGGGCAAGAACTAGTTGGTTCATAAAGTGCCTTGGATGCTGTTGACCCTTAGTAACTGGTGGCTGTTCTGTCTCTGTGCAGGCACTTTAGTGAGTTTTTGAGAAGTCATCACTTCTGTAAATACCAGATTGAGGTGCTGACTAGTGGGACTGTTTATCTGGCTGACATACTTTTCTGTGAATCAGCCCTCTTCTATTTCTCTGAGGTGAGTGGTAGGTTTGGGTTTATTGGGGTTTTTTTATGATTCCTTTCTATCAAACAGAAATGTTTGCTTTAAGAAAGACACCTCAAATATAACAACAACCAACAAAAACAGGTGAGAAAAATGAGAGATGCATTAAATGGTTTCCTGCCCATGTGTAGAAAGATTTCAAGTGTTCAACCCTATCATAGCATGGATATTGGTTTGTGTCATCCCCAGTCAGCACTTCTAAGGGTCTCTCTGCTTTGTGGAAGCTTTGACATGGTCACCTTAATCTTGCCAAATGCAGGTGTGATTTTGAAAGCCTCAGGCTTTCTTACAGATAACAAATAATTCAGTAGCTTTGCAAGAGAGGATACCAGATTGGAACAGGGTAGGTTTAATGTATTATTTTACAGTCGTGAGCCCTGTACCTGTAGGGAATCATCTGTTAATAGTAATAAATACTTGTCCTGATAGTCTGACAAGTCAGTGTGATTTGAAAGCAAGTTGGGAAGCTGAGACATCATGCTGAGTTCAGGGTTACCCTGAACTTAAGCTTAAGCACAGCATGAAAATAGCATTTCCTCTGTCTTTAACGTGGTACAAATAAATAGTTGCTCAGGAGCTAAATGTGTAAATCAGTACAGAAAAGAAATGTCACAAGTTCCTTTTTTAAAAAAACAAACTCAATCTGTCTGCAACACTAGCTGAAAATCCAGAATATTTATATGCCCTAGTGACAATTTTGCATCATTAATGTAAGGACTATGTTTCTTGTTTTAAATGGGAAGGAGTAGGTTTTTCTGTGCTTATTGAAAGTTACTTGCTAGAACTTCTTTAATTTGTCCTTTTCTTTTCCATTTCCCTTCCAGTACATGGAAAAGGAAGATGCAGTTAATGTGTTGCAGTTCTGGTTGGCAGCAGATAACTTCCAGTCTCAACTTGCTGCCAAAAAAGGCCAGTATGATGGGCAAGAAGCACAGAATGATGCCATGATTTTATATGACAAGTGAGGGAGTTCAACAATTACTTGTTTCTGCAGCTCTCATTTTATACTTGTACTTCTGTGTTGCACTGTGCAAAAGGAACTTTTCATTTTCAAGCCATAACTCTGCAGCCTTGCCCTGTTGTGCTGAGATGCATTTTATAAGGTGGCCTCTGATGTGCATGCACACAAGAACTTTGAAAATTTTTCTTTATGTGAAGAGAAAATCCTTATCTGTTCCTAAACACAGAGTCTTAAACTTCAGAGTTTTCAAGACTCAAGGGCTTGAGTTAACATTTGGTCATGAAATATCAATGCCAGTTGGTTCCCATTTGAAAGTGTAAAGGATTTAAACCTAGGTGAAAGTGCTAACCTACAGGGTGAGATGCCGTTGCCCATTTAAAGTAGGCTGTAGGAGCTCTTATCACATGTAGTAAAAGTGTTCTTAATACTTCAAAACACTCCTGTTTTTAAGGAAGTGACCAGATCCCTTTTCAGGTCAGACCTTCCTCTCAGCAGGGTAACTTTTATCCTTTATTTTGTGTCTCACCTCAGCAGTAGTGCAGTGGGCAGGTGGGTGTCAGAACTGCTTCCAGAGGAAGTTTGTTCTTAAGCTGAAGTATGAGACTCATTGCCACGAGCTTGTGGAGTGGGAAATAATAATGGGAGAGGAAGCAAAACAATTCACTCTGACTTTCACCAGTCATCTTCCCACTCCATCCACAAGCTCAATGTTCAGTGATGTGATTAGTAGAGCAAATCTTGCTTCAGAGTTCTGGATGTTACCAGCTTCGTTCCTACTGCAAAGCTCTGTCAGCTTCTGCTCATCAGTCGTCACGTGCTCTGGTTCTTTTATCTGGATCTTCAGGGCAAGGCTTGATAAAAAATGTTTCTGTAAGTTGGGGATTTTTTTCCCTGCTGTACTTGGTGTGGATCAGTTCTAGGTACACTTAAAGGCAGCACCATTTAGTGGCTGCAGCATGATTAATGGTTGTCTTTAATGAAGTGGAAAGGGTGGGCTCTAGTTACTTGCAGAGTTTTGCAAATCCTTTTGTGTTGTCTTCTTCCCCTGTCCCCTGCTGCAGGTACTTCTCCCTTCAAGCTACCCACCCTCTTGGGTTTGATGACTCAGTGAGGCTGGAGATTGAATCCAACATCTGCAGGGAAGGTGGTCCTCTGCCCAACTGTTTCACTACCCCCTTGCGACAGGCGTGGACCACCATGGAGACGGTGAGATGCCTTTAGATGCCTTTAGAACGGTTGGGGCAGTTAGCAGAGACAATGTGGAGACTCTGCAGGGTGCCATGTCCCCCTCAGCATCTCATAATAGAACAGCTTTAGTAAAATTTGCTAGATTGTTTTCCCCAGCCTGATGTGAAAAGATACCACCTGCTGGTTTCTGTTAATTCTCTGTCAAATGTTTGTCTTGGGTGATTACTCCATTTTAATGGAAGCAACAATTTCCTCCCATCTGAATTGCTCTCAACAGTTGCTTATGTATCTTTAAAATTCCATCCTGCTAGTAGCAGTTTGCAAGTCTAATTCCAGTGCTGTGTCTAGTGGTGTAACTGTGGGATATTTGGATACTAGAGATCAATTATTTGATTCTGGAGCTGCAGGTGGTTTTTGAACAGCACAGCAAAATGACTGTGAGTCTGTTGGGTTGCCAGGCCTTTCCAGAGGAAAAATGCTAAACTTCAGTTCCGGTTACTGGAGGATTTGGTTAATACATAGTCATTTTTGTTCATGGTGCAGTGGGATTCAATTTTAAAGCAGTGCCGTTGCTATTTCAGATTAATTCCAGTTGTGGACACTTTTTCCTGTGTACATGGACTGTGTCCCCTTTGTTCTGTGAGCCATCTGCCGTCATTGTGCAGAGCAGCCTTGATTAAAGAGGGCTTCTCCCTCTGTCTCTCAGGTTTTTTTACCTGGCTTCTTGTCCAGCAACCTTTACTACAAATACTTGAATGATCTCATCCATTCAGTACGAGGAGATGAATTTCCAGGAGGGAATATTGCACTGAGTATTCATGGCCCCAGTAGCTCTCCAGACAGCGATTCCATAGGGGGCCAGGATGGCTCTGCCTCCCAGGTAAGAGTTCCCTGCTTTGATTCTCTTCAGGGAGATGCTGCAGTCACTTTTCTGTTCCTGCACTATAAGGAACACGTAATTTGAAGCTTCCTATTCCACATTTAAGGTCAAAGCCTGTGCTGTGCTGAGGTGTGTTTAGTTTACCTGCTGCTAAGTTCAGACAAACAGAACTGGCATGGAAGGGAATCATCATGTTTGTTGTACCCAAGGCCTTTAGTTCTTTGCATCACAGATACATTTTTATTAAGCTCTTAATATTCACTGCAGACCCCCTTATAGTGCCATAACATGTAAGAATGTTTTTTGTTAGAAATAACTTTTTTATCAATACCATAGTTATAACTTTAGGCAAAAATTGACTCCTGTGAATATGCTATAGAATTTCTATTGGAATATGCAAGTTTTGTGTGCTCAGCTCTACTAAAGTGCCAGTGCTTTTGCTGCATTGCTTTTATTGAATGCTGCAGTGGGTTTTTAATCCAATATCTAGCTCAGTGTTAATTGATGCACTGTTTCAAGCAAATTGGAGGCTCTCCTACCTGCTTGTTACATTTTTAAACCTCCTACTTAATTTGCAAGGAGAGAATATTTCCTCCTAGTTGCAAAGTGGGGGATAAAAATCTGTGATCTTGAAACATCCTGCTGCCTGATAGTCTGAGCAGGAGAAACTGCTGGTATTAGCTGGCTTGGGCAATTTAGGAATGAGTTGCTGCAATTTGTGGTGTGGGTTCCTGCTTAATCTGAACAGGAGAATCTCTGGGTGTCTGCATATTTTTGCATAAAGAGCAGCACTGATGCAGAGCAGCAGGAAAGGAGTTTGGAAGGCGACAAACGCTGCTGCCATGAACCTTTCTGTGCTGTGTCAGGCACTACCAAACTGATGTGCATTTGTGCTCTCCCTGCTGTTGCTCTGATGTTTCCTTGGCTTTTTTCATAAGCTCATATAAATACTCTGACCCAAAAAAGATCCGTGTGTGTCCTCTGTGTGTTTGGGAATCCCTGGCCAACTGCATGAGAGTGAGGCTGCTGCAGCTTTGGGGGCAGCTCAGTGCTGTGCACTCCCAAACAAGTCACCTGCACGCACAGATCTGCTCTGGTGGTGCTGAACCAGCAGCCCTGACACATCTGGGGGCTGAGCTGCACTGTGTGTCTTTGGTTCTGCTCATTTCACTTTAGCATCCTCTGCTCAAACACAACCTCAGGCCGAGTTAGGAGTTCCTGGCTGTGTAGATGTTCTCCCATTCCTTTATGCTTCCTTAGAGACTTCATGGAGGTTTGTCTAAGTGTAGAAGCACTAAAATAGCAATTTTGTTAAGAAGCTGTTAGTTGTCTGCATTGGGCACTAATACTTAGAATTTTTGTTTGTAGTCCAATGTCAAAAAGGCTAATATTAAAATCCTGAAAAATTTTGATGAAGCAATAATTGTAGATGCTGCAAGTCTGGATCCAGAATCTTTGTATCAACGAACATATGCAGGGTAAGGTTCATTCAGTGTCTCTCTTTGTAGTTATGTGTTTCACCTCTGTTTCATTTTTGCTGTGCCCAAAGATGTTCCAATCTTAGCACAAGTCTTAATAATTCAAAAGTGAATTTATTTCCATAGTGTGATTTAACACCAATGTCACAGTGCATGTTCCTCTGGCCAGAAAAATATTTCCAGTTGTTTTTTTTTCTTTCTCCTAGTTAATATTTCTCTTTGACTCCAAAATACAGCTAAGTAGTTCCTGTTGGAGGTTGGAACCTAAGAGAAGGGCTTATATTTAATTTCTTTAGCAGATTGCACAGCTCTTCTGTTCTTAAGTTGCTCTTTCTTATAAATCTCTTAAAAATATCTCTGCGGATCTCTAAACAAATTTTTTTTTTCTATAGCTACCTGGCTTTTCTATTGCACACACCAGCCTTCTGTCCGTCCAGGCACTGTAAACCCATTTCTCCCTAATGACATGTTTTTATGATAGTGCAGAGCACTTCCTAGCACTGCCTGTTGATAGCACATGGTTGAGTCATACAAGCATTTGCCTCCTTCCAGTTCTTAGAAGGATTTCTTGAGATACACTTTGAATTCAGATACATGAGATACTCATAAGAAGAGTAAGAGATGTTTCCCAGTGTATCCATTTTTGGTGGAAAAGGTGATAATTGGCAAAATGACAGACTTCTGACACTGGAGTCTTTATTGGGGTGACTTTTTTTGTTTCCCCGATTTAGTGCTTTCCAAAGTGCCAAAGTTCTCATGGTGACCTGTGTGGCTCTTTTACTCCTTCTCTCTCCAGGAGGATGACATTTGGACGAGTCAGTGACCTGGGACAGTTTATCAGAGAATCTGAACCAGAGCCTGATGTCAAAAAATCAAAAGGTTTGTTTTCCTCTTTCTCTGTAAACATCTGGAGACCTGCTCTCTTACTTACTGCATGCAAGATAAGCAGGATTCCTGATTCTTCCCAGATCTGTTTTAAGCCAAAAAGAGATGCTTAGGGAATGGTCCTGTACTGAGGCAAAACCCATCTCTGGCCTGATTTTTTCCCCAAATGCTGCTTTTCTGGTCCAGCTGGACTCTGGGGAGTATGAGCAGCCTGTGGGAGTTGGAGCTGTAGATGGAACCTGGCAGGGATGAAAGCTGCTAGCAGCTGAGCTGGTGATCAAACCTTCAGAGATTTGGTTTGGAGATTATAAAGAATCTCAGCTCTCTGTGTGCTTCCCACCCAGTCTGGGATCTGCTGTTAAAGCTACTTTGCAGCTCTGGTAAAGAGGAATGGTTCAGGCTCAGTATCTAATGAATTCCATGTAATCCCTTGTCTTTCATGCCTCACTCCTGTGTTCTCCAGCAGTGCAGAACCTTCAGAAGGATGGAAGGAATTAGCTTTTATAGAGGTGTGCCACAGAATCTGCTAACATACCTTGCTTGCTGTTTTTTATCTCAACTAGGGTCCATGTTTTCACAAGCAATGAAGAAATGGGTTCAAGGAAACACAGATGAGGTGTGTCCTCTTTTATGTTGTCCTTGTGACTGACTTTGCAGTGTAGATGATGTAATGAAGAATGGAGGTTCCTAACTAATCCTGGCTGTTTGTGATGCACCAACAAGAGCTGTCAGACTCTGTGCTAAATATAAGTTAATTGCATTCATGTGTGAAACTAGTTTGATTTTTGCCAGTGCTTGTGGGCTTCACTAATATAACTGTTAAACATGTGCTTGCAGTCAAGGTTTTTCTTATTATGGGTTATAGGTACACCTACAATTAGGAGTGGAGGTGCTGTCCTTTGTATTTTCCTATAAAGGGGTCACTGGATTATAGGCTGTGTTTTGGCCCTCAGAGGGGCTTGGACAAGTCATAGAATCATAGAACTATTCAGGTTGGAAAAGCCCCTTGGGATCACAGAGTCCAACCATCATCACGCTCTACGAAGTTTTCCCCTAAACCATCTCCACCAACACCACATCCAAATGACCCTACAACACATCCAGGGGTGGTGACTCAACCACCTCTCTGGGCAGCCTGTGCCAGTGTCTTAACAGAGAAGTCCCCAACAGATAAGTCTAAAAAGTCACTAACTCTTGAAACTGGCATCAAGCCATAACTATTCACCGTAATTGAAGTTAATGCTGTACTTGGGAACCAGCTGCGTTTTCATCAAGGGAGGATATGGTTACAAGTCAGTGGGTTGTGAAGGTTAACGGTGTCTCCAAGGTTGAGCATGTGGGTGATGCTGTGTGTGCTTTAAGAACTCAAAGCTGTCTGTCCCGGGGGTGTTTTTCCCACGACAGGCTCAGGAGGAGATGGCCTGGAGGATTGCGAAGATGATCGTCAATGACGTGATGCAGCAGGCGCAGTGTGAGCAGCCCAGGGAGAGGGTGACCAAGGTGAGGGCTGGGAGGTGCTGCCTTCAGCTCCCTGATCCAGACTGTGGGAGCAGCAGAGCTCTTGCCTCCCTAGTGCATCTGAAACCCACACTGGTAAATGTTCAAACTAGCACAGCACGATAGGAAGAATCAAAGGTTGGAAGTGTTTCAGCCTACAGATGATGTAGGAATTTCTTACAGGCACCAGAACTGGTTCTGTGCAAGTGTTGTATCATTCTGAGCCTTTATCAACTGCCTTATTAGTTAAAAGGCTGATTGCGTTGCAGAGTCAATACTGTAATTCCTTTTTGGAGTTCACCCTTGCTGGATTGTGTTCGTGGATGCTGGTATATTTGCCTGAAGTGTCAGTAAAACACTCAACAGCTGAAAAACTGTCTTGTTGGGTGCACTAATTTACACAGTGCAGGGTCTACACCCTGGGGCTGGTGTTCTTGGTGTTGTGAGTTGTTCAGTGACTTGGTTGTTGTACAAGTCCACGTGCTGTTTAAAAAAAAGCCAGTTCTGATGCAACAGTTAGATTTTGTGACATAGTGATGGCAGCAGGGTTAGCAAGTTAATTTCTGGTACTTTGGCTTTCAGGCATCTGACTTTTTAAAAAATGAACTTGCAGTATTTTTAGTTCTTGAAGCTCAACATGTGCCCAAGTTCAGTGATTAGACCCAAACGGATGGATCCATAGCTTTGCCATGTGACTGTTTTCATTTTAATAGAGCAGTTAAATTTAAATGACTTGTATAATGATTTCACTTAATAGCTTGGCTGCAAATGATATAATTCCAGTCTGGCTAGATGAAAAGGTCTCTCAGCACAGTATTTAGAAATATCAAGTGGCTGCAGATGCTCTGGATTCAATTAAGCCAGTATGGTTACAGTCATCAGAAGGTTGAGTGTGTTCTGGGATTACTTTTTTTTTTCCTCTCCCAGACTCATAAGCATACCTGGCTGCAGCATTTTTAAACACAAAATGTCTTTCTGTTGAGTGATTGCCCTGTAGGTTTTAGAGTAAAATGAACTCTAACCCTGTTTCTCCTTTTCCAGCTATGATTTTAGAAACACCAGAACAGGAAATCTGGTTTTCTGCTTCAAGAATGAGTGAACTTTCCCTCTTGGTGGATTCTTTAACACAGCCAATAAAAACAAAGCACTGTTACTCCAACCACTGAGATCTCCCTTCTTTGTAAGAAAGAATGGAAAGGAAGCAATCCTGTCCTTCCACTGCAGAGCATGAAGAAACACTTTCCCTGCTGCATGTGGCATTCACAATGATGATGGTTTTTAAAGAGATGAAGATGCAGTTCATGGATGTGTCGCTGAGAAACTGTGATTGACTTCACAGATCCCTGACCCTGTCTCAAAAAGACTTTTAAGCAAAATATCTGGAACAGGACACAAGCCACAACAAAGAGGGGAAGGTTTTGCTGTAGTTTCTAGTTCTATTACTTGTAATTTTTAGACACAAAATTGAAAAGGCTGTGGGGCATGTCCCCCACATTAGCCCTTTGGGAAGTGAATGTGAAAGGGTGGATTAATGGGCAGTGAGTGACCTGACAAAGTTCTAGGTTTTATTTTTCCTTACTTGAAATAGATGCGTATTCAATGTAAGATAAATGTGTTTTCCTACATAACTACATTAACTCTGAAGGCAGCACAGAGTGATCAGGAGTGAGGCCTGGGCACTGGGGCTCTCGCTGTTGAGCTCTTACACCTGGAGACAACCCCTGCTCCCAGCACAGAGCAATCTGGGAAGCTGATTTGCACTGGTGCATCCCTCTGCTCCCAAGCCCCAGCTCCCCCTGCAGCCGACCTGCTGAGGAGGTTGTACCCTCCAGACTGCTCCATTTTCCTTTCCTCTCCATCCCATGAGCAAGGAAAAAGTAATTGCTGCCATTCTCCATAGCTTGTTGTCCTCCAGCCAACATAGTATCTAATTCCAGGTGTTTGGTTTACAAAGAAAAATAATTTTTAATTACCTCTGTCCCTTTCCCTGATGTCAACACTTGCAAAACCCTTAGTTTAAATAAAGAAAAAAAAGCCACCATGTCACACAGCACCTCTATTTTATTTTTTCCAATGAATTGATTTTGCAGGATCTCAGAAGTACTTGGTGTGTCCCTGTTATGTTATGGCTGCATCCCTAGTATGCAACACTTCTATTTTGGGTTTTTTATTATACTCCTATGATTGCTTTTTCCTCAAACTTGTGCAAAAAAAAAAAAATAATCATTTTGCAAAGAACTTAAATCATCTCCAATGTTGAAAATATCTTGATTGACTAACAAGTGTTTTTTCTGTTGCAATATTTGATTGTATAGAGACACTATTGTCTGCAAAAAAAGGCTGTGTGTAGTTTTTTGGTACTATGTACCACCTCTTACTTCTCTTATGCCCAAGTATTCATGTACTTAAAACATACTATATTTAATTGTGTTTTGATTTAAAATATATAAATATTAAAATGTGTGTCAATTTTCTGTTTTAATGGGATTTGACTTTACATGGTTTGTGGGTTTGTTTGGTTTTTTTTAAACGTGAGGATATTTTTTCCGGGATTTGCTACTTTTTTTGGTCGAGTTTCAGAAACACAAACCCGGACTCCCTGGGCCGGACGCGCCGAGGGCGGCCTCGAACCCGCGGCCTCGAGTCCGCAGCCCCGCGCCGCCGCCGCCG